CCTTGAAAGTGGAGGGATGGATTTTAAGTGTTTCGTTGTGTTTGTCGAGGCTTGGTGGATAGTAAGCGGGAAAATTCGTGAATTTTTATCATCGGAGGTGAGAGAAGAGAAAAGATGGTACGTATTTGAAAATACGACGTTCTTTGCACTTTACTCGTGCATTTAAATTCAAATTAAGAAGTCTATTTCTGTCTGTAAAGAAATTATTCTAGTGAAGGAAAATTTTCTAATGAAGAAAAAGAGCAGATGCAGATGAGAGACGCATCCGGTGCCAAGATTCGCAGAAAAGGACGCTTAATGTCGAAGATAAGCGTCCATTGCATAAACGTTGCCTGTGACTTGCGCTTTTAATGGGAAAAATTTATGTCGAGGAATCGGTTTCGGCACGTATATCGTTCGTTGCCACGTAACTGGTTGAAAAGACATCGGCGGAATTTTTGTATTACGTGATCGATTTCACTCAAAAGGTTTGCAAAAATTATCTGTCTCGTGCTGTATCTTAATCAGGCATTAATGAACAAATAAATAATTAATAAATAACAAACATATACTTTCTACTTTTCAAATCACTATGTTATATGTTTCATCATCTATAAATGGAACAATACACAAACTAAATATCTTCGACTGGTTTTCATTTATTAATCACTGTGATAAAATATAATATTAGCACTTTCTACCTATCAAGATTAACATATCCACTAATATATTCCCATAATTTTCTGCGGAAAAGAGAAATTCAATTACGTATAGTGTCGAAACAGTGTCGAAATATCGTAAAATGTCCAATTCTAGTAATAATCAGCGTACAGAGAACGGTACCTTAATATATGCGAGGAACATAGTCTCATACAAGTTCATTGCTTGGTATATCGCAAATGTAGTTCAACGCCAGTCGACTGGAACTTATTGGAAGTGGAACAAGAAAATTAAATTATCGGAAACGTCTAATGGGCGATTGTCATCAAACAACACTTCCGGCCGATAATCCGATTTACCATAACGCGTCTAAATGGCCTGCATCAGATTAATAATTTTTTAGTGTTGTTGTATGTTTCTACTCTCGCAATTGCTATTTCTAAAATACTGGTAAAGTAACTAAACTAATGTTTCCACTCGCGAAACGATCGAACCCACCGAATTTCCATTTCCTCGTCCATTTCGTCGCGTTAATCGAGCGAGAAAGACAGGAATGCAAATGAACAACGCAACTTCCTACACGCACTTGCAACACTCTAACTTCATTGATTCCAATTCCTTTGCCGTTTGACTTTACAGGCATGCGGACGTTTTATTTAACAAGCGTGCTATTGACACTGTTCATGGAATTACATCTAGTAATAGTGTATTGGAAGAACAGATTGTTAGTTTGATCAAGGCATTTGACCAACGATCTATTAACATGGTCAACCGCGTGGAAAATCATGATTTTGACAACGGTCGTCAGTTACGTAGTTTCTGCTCAGAACGCTTAAAACACTTTTTATTTCTAACAACGCTTCGATATCCGATACAGATTATAAATTATACATATTTTTGTGTTTGTTGTACATGAAGTGTCGAGTAAAAATTTTCCTAAGATTTCTGATCGTGTCAAACCTGCATGTTCAATTATTACGAATCAATTTAGTTACGTGAGAACTCTCGCTTTCGTCGCGAAGAATGCAAAAAAAAAAAA